TTAAAGGTATACAAAGTTTCAAACAATGAGGTGAGGTCTATAGGGGAGGAGCAGCGGGGGCGAGAGACAGGGATCTGATTGGGCCGTAGGAGAGCGGAAGGGAAGCTGATTGGTCAGTCCAGCGGTATTTAAGGCGGCTGTGCTGCAAGGGTGTCTTGGCAGTCTGAGGGCAGAAGAAATAGGGGTGGGAAAGGGGTGTTCAGGGGTTCCTTTAACTGCCCCCTGCCTAAGCCACCCAGTATAAATCCATTGTCTCTTGGCAAAGCTACCCAGTCAGCCCCCTACCAGCCTGGTGCTGGCTGCTCCTGTGTACCTGCAGCTCAGTCTCTGGCTTGATAGCAACATGGAAAGCACGAGTGTGCTGCTAAGGGCCGAACCCTGTGCCATTTCCCCATAATGAGACTTTTGGCTGGCACAAGCCCACATGACATGGATGTGTGCACAAGCCATTCAAATTGAGCCCGTGGGGTCACCCAGCCCAGCAGCTCTATAGGGAGATCAGAGTTGTGGCTGCAGCTGAGGTAAAACACTGCATCCCAGCTCTGCCCAGGCTTGGTTGCTCTGCCTTCCTTGTCAGAAGTGGGGCTGGAGCATTGCATCTCCATGGGTCCCAGATATTACATATACACAATATATATTATATATATATGACAACAGGCATGGGGCAGGGGTTGGTGAAAACTGCTATTGGACCAACTAGTGGGGAGAGATATAAGACACATTTTTGGGCACACAATGTCCTTTGCCTGACCTGAGGCAGGGCATGCTATACCCAAAAGTTTGTCTAACATCTCTCTTCATTATACAGTTGTTCCAACCAAAGATATCAAGGAATTGCTCCCCGTAAGAGTTACTCCGGCCCAGCCCAGATTAACAGGAGCCTGTTCCCTCTTCTCTCAGGTGGGCTTCACTGCAGGCAGCAAAAGCTGTGCTGGAGCCAATGCTGCAGCTGGGGTTGGGGAGAAGTAGCAGCAGCGAAAAGTCATAGCCTTTGGGGATTGCCAACCCACCTCAGATCTGAGCCAGGTAGTTTCAGCCTGCAGCTCTGAATGGTTTCGGATTTACAGTCTAGGATAACCTGTTGACCAGTTAGCCTACGCCAACCCAAGAGCACTTTTGCTATTAACTTAGTGTGTTTCCTCTGACTTGCCACTTTGGATGGGGGTTTTTTTTGTAATGGCTGCTTTTCAACACCTGGGAAATGGAGGAAGGCCAGATCACTCTGAAACCCCTCTACTAAGTGACTGTAGCCATTGTTATAGTGGTTGCACATGTGTTTGGCATTATGAAGGCGCAGAAGAGAAGTGGTGAAATGATTATCTCGGAACTCATTTGTTGCAGACACCTCAGATTCCTGTCTTTGGCTCAGTGGCTCTCAACAAAATCCATTCGTGCTTGAAATAATATCTCTTATCCATAAAAGTTAAACAAGTGAAATGTTACAGATGACTATAGTCCAGATAATTTTACATTTGACAAAGAAATACTAATGTGTGTGTTCTATCATTGCTGATGGTTGAACTTCAAAAGGAGATTTTATTCAGTTTCATTGTTATACTTAGGAAATAAAAAATATTTGGTGTAGGTAATTTACTTTGGTTATAAACACTGTACAAGCTGTTGCTAAAATTTGCTCGTTTAATAATCTGATTAAATAAAATGTGCTTTTAAGCTAAGGGATTTACTTTGCAGTGTATTGTGAGTTAAGATCTTGCTTTATTTTCCATATTCTTTGTTTTTCATATTGCAAGAGCACCGAAAATGTGCTAAGTGCCATGCTAGTCCAAAGAAATGCACATTCCAAAGTTTCAAAATAACTTACAATGTGAAAGGGACAAAAATGGAATGGTGTGGGAATTAATATTACAGACAAGTAGGGTTTAAGCTAGTATTTGTAGTAATTTTGCAGGTTGGATTGGCATTGTATAAACAAACTCCTCTCATGTGCTCCTTTTGTTACTGGTGATTAGCTGGCTCATTTCTTGATGGGTTGTTTTTTTTTCATTGCTGATGTAATGGTTAGCTATTACAAATGTACTCATTCAGAAATAATGTATTTTCTGTACTTGATGCTGATCTGAATTTTAGTCATTTTGTTTCATATGGCTCATGAGAGAAGATTCGTACTATCATGAGGGCTGGACTTGTGAAGAGATGAATACCCCCCTACTAGATTCTCGCCACCCTTATCTTCTCCTGGGGTCAAGAAAATACCAGGGTGCTCCATTGCTCTCAGGAGCAACTCAACACTTCATCATATCTTACTGTTCTCCTGCCTTCTTACCAACAATATGCTTGGCTCTATTTTTATTCTGTTTTCAAATAATCCCTACAAATGTATCTACTGCTATCACACAGAGACCCTATAATTTTGCAAAATGAAGTTGTGAGTAATGAAGCTCTGCTAGAGAGAAAAAACAAATGGGATGTTGTAAATGTGGCTTATATCATTTTCTCCAAAGTGTGATTAGGATTTCTGCCTCCATGTCGTAATTAGTCTTTTAAAATATTTGACAAGGGTGGGCCTGAGCTTGAAGCTACTTGTGCTACTTTGTTATTTTAACTGGTAATATTAACCTCTGTCACCCAGACTATAGGATTCCTCCACTTGATTTACAAAGGCTAAGTTCAGATTTTCAGCTTGTGATATAATAAAAGATTTAACAAATACTTTGGTCCCTTGGGTCATGCCTTAATGTTTGTCACTAGCTCCCTGGGAATTCCTGTGAAATTCCTTTCAATCCATTCTTTTTATGTGAAATATTTGAAGTAAATATTTGTGTGTGGTGAGACCATGAACTCTGGCCAATAAAATACATTCCATGCAATTAATCTCTTGTATACATGGAGCTAACTTCAAGGAACACAGCATACTATTAAAGGCCACTTAGCTTTGCTTTCTCTCTGCTTATAGTTTGCAACATTCATATTGTAGTGCAAAAATTCTGGCTATAAACAAGGTGGAAGCAACTGTGCTTTTTAGTCTCCCTGCGTGGGGCACTGCAGTGAGAAAGAATAGGATGCTTTCCAGGTAACAGCACAGAGAAGGTGGCCATAACAGTGAAGGATATCCTGAATTGTTCTGGGGCAGCAGTTCACAAACATTTTCTTCTTGCATACTCACTTTCAGATTCACCAGCTGCCCGCTTACCCATACCAGCATACATTTTATATTTTAACCCCTTAAATGCCAATTATTATCATCATGAAAATAAAAACTTCCATTACACAATTTCTCCCATGTACCCCAAAGAGATGTCTTGAATACCCACAGGGGTATGCATACCACAGTTTGGGAACCCTTGTTCTGGGGTATTCCTAGGGTGAAACAAATGTGTGTGGCACAGGGAAGACTCTAAACTGAATGATTACTTCATTTCTGGATAACTTCAGCTATTCTTCTGGTGGCAGTGAAGAAAAAGACAGCAAGCAGTGGAACTGCAGCTACTGCAGCAGTTGGTTCTCAATCCATTGAGCATTGGAATGCCTTCTTAGATGTAAACTGCTTATGTCTGGAAAAGATTTAACCCTGAGTAACTTTCATATATCTAGAAGAATTTAGACTTTTTCCTCTAGAACCTATAATACGTGGTACCAACCCACTGTACTAATTAGGTGGGCTTTATAAAGGTTCACAGTATTGGAACAGAAATGACACCACAAGGTTCAAAACTGAAATGTTGAATGAGATTTGGTGATGAAAGAGCAAATTAAATGAGTTTGATGAACCTATGAATGAGATCCAGTGGGCTTTTCCATGTGTGTCAATGGGAATTCCAAGATGGGACAAAACACCAGAGTATATGCAGGAGGGAATAATTCTTTAGTGGCAAAAGAGTGCACTTAGATAACCTCATAGGCTTCCAACTTTCCAAACCTCCAAGGCCTCCCTCTTGCAAGTAGTTGAAGATAATACAACAGATTTTCTAGGAAGCTGTGTTTATAAACTTTGATAATTCTTTATGCAAATCTAAGAGGAGGCAGGAGAATCCTATTTAACAGGTTCTCAGTTTCTCATATTTTGGCATTATGTGCATTTCATAAACTCTATTTAGCAAACAGACTCAAATACCTGATTATGATAGCATTATAAAAGCTCTTTCAAGGCACTTTACATGTATTTTCAGGTAGTCGAGTTTCTGGGCCATAGTTGGAGCTTTGCATGCTAACAAATCCTAACAGGTCAGAAGGAAAAATTAGCAACCTCTTTATGGCACAGAAATATCCCATGATAATTTTATCTTGTGGCTAGTTTGCATGTTATGATTTATTGTGCAATATTTGCATAAAACAAGCAATAAATGTAATGTTTGCCAGTGGCCGAAGTTGTTCAACAAGCAATACCTTTGTGGCTGATCTGCTATTTTTATCTAGCAATATATTGTTTTAAAATCTGACACATTACAATTTGTCTTGCAACACTATCATATAAAGTGTGACAAATGTAATGTCTGCTAGAGACCTAAGTCATCTGACAGGCTTCCTGTTCCACTAATTATTATTTTTCAGTAATTTTTTTCAAGGTACCTTTTTAAAATATCAATTTTTCAAACTGCAGTTTTTTCTTTTGTGATGTTAGGTTAATTCTCCCACACAACCACCACCTTTACATTCTTCGGTAAGCAGACCTCCTTCTTTCTGCATCCCTCCAATTGCCTCAGGCTTAACTTAAAATATCAGTTGTCATTGTGATGATAACCCTTATGGTAG